CAAAAAGGGAATATAGAAAGAAGGATGCTAAATTCACTTGGAGACTTCTTGTACTTGACAAATGACAGATTTAAAACATTGGTTGCTGCTGGTAGGATATTCATACTTTTGACACTGGGTAAAACAGTAAAACAAGAGGAGTCAAAAATGTCAAAACCCAGCCAGATACGTGCCAATGGACTGATTGCTTCAGAAACTAAAGATGTTTTTCTACCTCAAGAGGTTGACAAGAGATGAAGCAAATGTTAGCTCTGGAAGTTTAGTCTGGTGGAGACTTCCATACAAGATAGTCTACAGAGGAGGCCAGGCAAGTGGATGGAGGGAGCAGGTGTTTCAGAGCAGGAGCAAGAAAGAAGCAGAGCTTTCCTTATCAACCTTAGTATACTTCAGTTTTGTACAAAGTGCATGTAGAACAATCTCAGTTATTAAATAATTAATGCTGATGTTTAGGTAGTTGTTTGAAAGCGTTCACTTCCATAAGTCAAGTTAGACTATGAGTATAACATATCTTGATCAATGTTATCCCTTCCATTGTTCTGTCAAGCTCCCTGGTTCCATTTTCACACATGTACATTGAATATTATGACTATTCTCCTATCTTGCCTCTCTCGATTCATCTGCTCTCCCTCCCTTGATTTCCCCCGACTCCCAACAGCATGTTTCAGCTTCCTGATCTTTATTTTTGTTAGTAGTTATTTGAAGGAGTTACATCAGTACAATCTTCCTCGATGTATATCATATGTGAGTCAGAGTTTGTGCATTGCACACAAACCCATGTATGTTTTCATACATGTTGATAATTTAGATCTAACTTCCAGACATGAGAGAAAACAGGTATCCTTCGTCCCTCTGAGTTTGGATTACTTCACTTAATATAATTTTTCCAGGTCTATCAATTTCCTTGCAAATGACATTATTCTTCTTGAGGGATGACTAAAATTTCATTGTCAGTCAGTCAGTCAGTCTGTCTGTCTGTCAGTCTGTCACATGTATTTTCATGAGTCACTCATCCATTGTAGGGCATCTAGGCTATTCCTGTAATTTGGCTATAGTGAGAAGTGTCACAATAAACATAGTGCCTTTACTGTATCCTGACTTGCAATCCAGTATTGCTGGATTATAGGGTTTAGATTTTTGAGCCATTTCCAAGCTGCCTTTCACAGTGGTTCACTAGTTTCATTCCTGCCAACAGTGGGTTTGCTGAGACCCTGGAACTGTATTCAGGACATTTCTGCTTATGCCAATAAATTCTAATGTTTCTCCTACTCCTTTCTGTAGTAATTTCAAGATTTCAGGGCTTATCTTAAGGTCTTTGATTTATTTTGAATAGATATTAGCAGAAAGTGACAGGTAGGGATCCAGTTCCAGTTGTATGCATGTGGAAATCCAGTTTTCCAATACTATTTGTTGAAGAGGTTATCTTTTTTCCCAGCGTATATTTTTTGCTTCCTTGCCAAAGATCAAAAGGCTGTAGGCATATAGGTTCATTTCTGGGTCTTCTAGTCTGTGCCATTAATCTTCAGGTCTATTTATTGTGCCAGTATGAACGCAGGGGTACCTACATAGTTCTTAGCTTTAACTAGCAGTGAGTTGGCAAAGAAATTATCTACTTGCTGTTTTTGGGTCAGTGATCTGAGTAGCTTCCAGATGAATTCTCTATAGTTTGCTTAACTATCTCCCAGACAAATCAATTGGAGGTAATGGAAGGAAAATCAGATTCAGAATTATCTCTCAACCTATAATATCCATATAACCATACTGCAATGGAATCTAGATTCTCTTCTTTATAAATAAAATACTTAGGGCTGGGGATGTAGCTTACTACGGTCTAGCAGAATGTTCTAGTTTCCATTTACAGAACCACAAAAAATAAAACAATATAAAGAAAGATATATAATATGTAAACAGTATAGCATAATAATCGAATAAGCACCCCCAGGCCAGCTTCCAAATTAGGGAACAAATTATTACTAAAAGCTTTGAAGACTTTTTTTCTGATATATGAACAGCTGCATGCATTGACTGACTGATTATAACACTGGTCAAGTCTTTGTTTCTTAATCTGCAAGTGGCTGTACAAGGTGGTTACAATTTAACATGTCCAATTTCTGTTCCCACTGCTTCTTAATCAGAGTCATCACCTCTATCATTTCCCTGGGTCATATCAAGTTTTCCATTTCCTTTATCACATGTTTACATTGAGTGTTATGACTGTATTTGTCCCTGTTCCCTGCTCTGTTCATCTATCTCTTCCCGCTAGATCCCCTGCTACGGTTCTTTCATTTCGTTTTTGCCAAAATATATTTTAAATTATCACCATTTTGATTGCTATATTAACTCCTTTAACTTTGGTAAAATGTTTAGCATACCATTTTTTAACAATATTACTTTGTAATATCTATCTATATCGATCTATCTATTGATCTATCAATCTATCTATTGATCTGTCTATCTATCTATCTATCTATCTATCTATCTATCTATCTATCTATCTATCTATCTATCTATCTATCTATCTAGAGTGGTGTGCCTGTACCGAACTTAGGGTCTGGGAGATGTCCTTGAGCTTTTGTACTTAAGGCTAGCCCTCTACCATTTGAACCACAGCCCAACTACCTTTTTGCTGATTAATTGGAGATAAATGTCTCACAGACTTTCTTACCCAAGCCGGCTTTGAACCACCATCCTCAAAATCCCACCCTCCTGACTAGCTAGAAAAGCAGGCATGAACCACTAGCATCTGACTTGTTTTGTAAATTTTTGAACCTTACACAAAGAAAATAAAAAGGCCTTTTGTCAGTCTGCAAGCTGTCAATTTGACCAAAGATCTTCTATCCAGGTTTACAGCTACTGCATGTTTTTCATGGCATGCAGTATTTGTTTGTATTAATAGATTCTTATTTATTTTCTTAATTTCTTTTTCCTTTTCTTTGGATCTTCATTTATTTTTCTGCAATGCCAGTATTATTATTTATGTTCATAATTCCTAATATCTATGCTTAAGAATTTCTCTAGGATAGATGTTATATAATTGACTTGCTCAGTGCAAAGGTGGGTTCACTTTCACTTTACTGTCTAGCATGAAATCATACCCCAAGTGCACTAAGCCCGAATCTCACCCTACCAATATTTAGTATCAACTTTACTCATTTATTAGTTCATTCATTCATTTATTCAATCACTTATCCATGTGCTAATTGCCAAGTCTGTGGATGTAAAATACTGTTTCTTCCTGGTTTTACTTTTCATTTTCTCCATGCCTGATAATTTATATATGTCTGCTAAGAAAAGCTAAGTCTGATATGCTAACAATCTCTTTCTCTGTATACATGCATATGTGGAAGTGTGTGTGTATGTGTGTGTGTGTATGTGTGTGTGTGAGTGAGTGAGTGTATTTACACATATGCCCATCACTCTTGTCGGCTGCTGTTGCTCTGTTTGTTTTACAGCAGTGTATATTGAATTCAGAGTCATGTACTTAGGCTTTCTACCAGTTGACCCACTCCCCAACTCCTGTAATTTTAGCTTGTTTTACATGGGGTATCATAGTAACTTTGCCTAGTTGGCCCAGAACTGTGATCCTACTATCCCTACCTCTTGAATATCTGGAACCACAAATGTGCAATTACCATGCCCAGTTCTCCTCATTTTTGTATTTAGCATCTACCTTACAGATTTCATCATGTCTGGAGTGCTAAGATTACAGGTATTACCTCATACCTGGCATACATCCATATATGCATACATCTGTATATCTATATATCTATATACATATATGTATGTATATTTGGGAGGTATTTTAATGCATGACAATCTTCATTTACAACGTCTTTGGTAAAAAAAAGTAAAATCATTTAAGCTTTGCCCAATTTCTTTCAGTGAAAAGGACTTACTTCTGCTTTATTCATAGTTATTTGTTACTTTTGTTGTAATAAATATGTATCTTTGTATTTAACTGTTCATTTCTTATTTATAGACTGAAATTGGTATTTGAATATTAACCTTTCAGCAGAAAGTTATATATATGACTTAGCAATTTTGCTGGGAATGGACCCCAAATGGGGATGACCCAGAAGTAAGGACCAGAGAAAAATAGAGCACACAAGGCAGGATCACATATGAGAAAAGGGAAGGTGACACTGGAATCTTTGATACTGACAGCCTATGGGAGTTACTTGGCCTAGAGAGCTTCAAAGGAGCTAGAGAAAGGAAGAAGAGACAGTGTGGTGGTAGGAGAGGGACTTTGGCCATAGAGAGTTGTTATTAATTAGGCTTCATTTGACAGATGTTTCTCTTTCTCATAGAGAAGAATTTGATAAGCATAGAAACCTAAACAAGAATCTGGCTAAGTCAAACCTATACCAGGTCACAGGATTCAGAGGGTTCCCTATGAAAACCTTAATAAGTTGATGAAAAGAAATGTAGTACAAATATAACCCTCTATCCAGGTTACTAAGTGGTGGAATCAGTTTTCTGTAGGTATTGACTTTCAGAAGTGGTGGCACATATTAATGAGCATAGCTAAGAGCTAACTAGAGCTGTTGTGGCCGTTTCTAAACAAGACACATCCACTCCTGGTCCTTGCTGCCTACAGGTTTTTCACTTGAGCTTTGATGGACTTGGTTTTCCTCTCGGAGCAGCCACGAGGGGTAATTCTCTCTGCTTCTCTTCTTTCCTTTTCCCACATTCTCTAACATTTTGTGTCTGTTTAAAATATTGTTTTTTTTGAAAGTGGCCTTGATCTCTTCTTTGTTGTTGTGATTAAGTACCGAGAAAGGAAGTATCATAAATAGAAAAGGCCAGCATATGGAATAGTTTAAGAGTTCTGTAAGGGCCAATGAGTGAGCAGCCACAGAAGGGAATATTCCAGCTGCCTCTTGCTGCTGCTTCTATTCTGATTCCCTGTAGATCAGATAGAGGAGAGCAGCAGGGCATGGCCATATGCAACCATTTGCTTTTTTCTTGCCTGTAGTAAAGTTCACATTTGATTGCTTTTCCAGATTATGTAGATCCAGACATATTTTATGCAGTCATCCGGATCTTTCTCTCTGGGTAAGTATAGTTCACTTGTTTTCCTCCATGTGGCTTCTGTAGTATTTCCCAGATGTAGGAGAAGACAAGCAGAACCTTTCTGAATAAGAAGCATACAAAGTAAGCCTTGCTGGCAGAACTCTCATTAGGATCCACTTTTGGATAAAAGAAGGGGCACCATCTGCATGACAAATGACATTAAGAGCTGGATATTTAAGTACAGAGGGATTGTCATCAAAGCATTAAATTATATCCATTTGTATGTGTTCTTAGAATCCTACCTTGACAGCTGGGGAATAAGGATGGCATGCCACCCACAGAGCTCTATCTGGGCAGATGGAGGGGTAGGCAGCAGCTTAAGTGTTTTAAAAGTTTTCAGAGAAGCCTACATCTTTTTCAAAATCCTTATGTTAAAATTTTACCACCTAGGTGATAGTATCGGAAGGAGGAGCCCCTCCCTTGTGAAAGGTGTTGATGTTCTCATTAAAGGGCTGGAAAAGGCTGAGAATATGGCTCAGAGGTAGAATATGAGACTCTGGGTTGAAAAAAACCCAAAGCTGTCTGGAGATTGAGGTGGGGTGGGCCAGATGAGTAGAAGGAGGAAAGGTTTACACTGTGTAAAAGTTGAAATACATAACTTGAGGACATGGCTAGGATTGGGAAAGATGGGGAAGAAAGATGGAAGAGGTAACATTGATCAAGATGCATTGTACTCATAATCTCTCTTGTGTAATTGAAATGCCTTTGTATAACTATTTTAAAAAAACAAAACTAGAGAAAAATAGCTGTCCCTTCCTCTTTTAAATTTGTTCATTTGCCTTCTATCCACTGTAAGGACATGGCCTCAGGGATCCATCTGGAAGCAAAGACTATGTTCTTCCCAGACTCAGCCTTTGATCTTGTTGCTCATAGACTCCAGAACCATGGGAGATAAGTTTCTATCATTTGTAAACTATAGGGTTTAAGGTGTGTGGCCTTTTAGCAGTGAGATCAGACAGAGACAATATTCCAGACCATTTTTTTAATCATGTTTCTAAATACTCTTCTTTTGTCGCATAGGTAGAAATTTCTTCAGAAACATTTCTGCTCTTAAATAACTTAGCCATCCCTATATAGATGTGTTTTAATCAGATTACCTTCCATCATTAACTGTGAGCATTAAGGGTGTTTTTTGTTTGTTTTTTTGGTTTTTGTTTTTGTTTTGCTGGTTATGGGGCTTGAATTTGGGGCCTAGGCACTGTCCCTGAGCTTTTTTGTTCAAGATTAACACTCTACCACTTGAACCACACCTCTATTGCCAGCTCTATGGTAATTAATTGGAGATAAGAATCTCTTTTGGACACAGGTGGGCTTCAAACTGTGATCCTAAGATCTCAGCCTCCTGAGTAGATACTATTGCAGACTTGAGCCACTGACTCCTGCTCTATTCCTTCCTTTCACTCTTTAAATATGCAAAGTGAAAGGTGGTGGCAGTGAATGGATGAGGTGAAAAATGTGCAGTAAATGTCAGCTAGTGATGATATTGTGTTAACTTTGTTTTGTGCCGTGTTATTAGAGAGAGAATCTAGAGATCGCAAGGAAAATGCCAAGTCCCAAGAGTCTACTATCTACTTCAGTGGTATGAAAATGAGGCAAGAAGTGTTTTCTCCAGATGGTGTGGGATGAGACACAGGTTGAGGGAGTCCCATTTGTGGGATAAACCTCACTGAAGGAACAGAGAAAAACCTGAGAGTGATGAACACCTGACAGGGACGAAGAGAGGGGATGCTAGGGTTTGGACCAAAGGCTACATGTTGAAGGCCAGGCTGCCAGCCTGGACTATTGGGAAGTGGTGGAGCTTTTAGGAGATGCGGCCCAATGCAGGAAGTTAGGTCACTGGGAGTATGCCCTTGAGGTGGATATTGGTGCACTGGTCCCAGCCACCAGAAGGTGAGCAGCTCTACTTCATGTTCTCGCCAAGGGTGATGGGTCCTAGTAGACATGGCCTAAAGCATTTGAAATCATAGCCCAAAATAAGTCTTTTCTCCTTGTAAGTTGATTATCTCAGATATTTAGTCACAAAGGTGGAAAGCTGGCTAACACGGGGAGAACAGTATACAAATGGAACTAGGGGTATGTCCAGTTACTCTGTATAACATTTTGTAGAATTATGTATGAGAAAAAATTAAGTTTATACAACTGTATAGCAAGCTTATATTACATGTAGAAGCGAACTGGGACTTAAAAAGCAAATGATCTTAGAAAGTCACTTTGTGCTTCACTTTGCCCTATAAATTTATGTTAGCTTTCCATGGCTACATAAGCAGCTAACACAGCCTTAACCAGCCTTAACCAACGTATTTATTATCTTCTGGTTCTGTAGAGTTGAGGCAAGCTCAGCTAGATTCTCTGCTTAGGGCTTCAAAATGCTAAGGCTAGTGTGTCTGCAGAGCTGAGTTTGTGTGTGTGTGTGTGTGTGTGTGTGTGTGTGTGTGAGAGAGAGAGAGAGAGAGAGAGAGAGAGAGAGAGAGAGAGAATCTTTGCAAGAACATCCTTAGACACATCCCTAAATAATGTTTTATCAGCAGTCTGGACATCCATTATCTGAAATTATCTGACACTTAAGCATCATAGATAGTTTAAAAATACTATTTAAAATAATTTTAGTTTGCCAAGGAGAAATAGTTCTTAAATCTAAGTTAGAGATAATGATTGGGACTGGGCATGGTAGCTCACACCTATAATCCTAGCTCCTCTGAAGACTGAGACCTGGGAGTGGGGTGGGGAATCCATACTGCAAGACTTCATTTCCAACTAACCAGATAAAAGGTAGGCTGGAGGTGTGCCACAAATGGTAGAGTACCAGCTATGTGCAAGAACTGACCAAGAGGCCCTGAATTTAAGCCTTGGTTTGTCCAGATTGTTGGTGAAACATTTTGGGATGTATCTGAGAATGTTCTTGCATTAAAAACAAAACAGACCATTGTCTTAGGAAGAAAAAATTTAAAAAAATGAAATAAAAAATCATAGCATAAAGAATTGGAGTCAGCATGGAAAAGTCAATAAAACCTATCCAGTGCATACACACACATACATACAAAATGACAAAAGAGGTCGCAGGAAACTTAGAGTGGTATGGTCACCCAAAGGAGAGGGTGGGGACAGACGTCATGGGCACTGTTATCGAGAAGGCCTTCAGAGATCAGCAGGTACGAACTCCTAGTGCTTCGCTACCCTTGCTACTACGCTTCCCCTTGGTGCTCACTGCAACCCTGCTGGAAGAGGAGCATCCTTCCACTCCACCTTTCCTGCTCATTCCCTGGATACTGAACTCTGCTCATCCAAATCCCCCCTTAACTGAAGCGTGGCTTGCCTTTGGGAGACTTCTTGTATAGCCTTTCATAGTTTATGTGAATGTTAGATCTCATAAAGTCCTTCTTTCAGATCTTTAAAACTCCCTTCCTCAAAGACCAAATCAAAGGTACAGAAAATAGATTTGTGGTTCAGTGGCCAGGACTGCTGGTAGATGACCTAACTACAAAGGAAGCACAGGAATACTTTCAAAGATATGAAATTTAGGGGTTATTTTTTATCCGTTTTAAAATTATCTTTAGTTGTACAAAGGAGTTGCTATTTAACAAACCAGTTTATGAATATAATATATCTTAATCAATGTCACTCCTTTAAATTCTTACCCTTCCCTCCCCTACCCACTCCTTCCCTTACTTGTCTTGATTTTGTAAGATATACATTGGATTTTCGTCTGCATTTCCCCTCCCCTCCTCTTCTCCTCTTCATTTGTCTATCCCTTTCCCCTTGACTTTACTCCATCCCTTTGAGTACCCACTTCCTGGTGTTTTTTATTTTTATTTTTTTTTTGGTGAACTTTTAACTTTGCCATTTTAAGGAATTATACTATATGAATTCTCCCTTGAATCTACTGTATATTAGTTAATACATTTGTATACACTTGCCTACCACCCAATGTATTTACTTGTAAGTTTATAAACTACATCTAGCTTCCAGATATAAGTGACAACATGCATCTTTGTCAGTCTGGGCCTGACTTCACTTAACATAATTTTTATTTAATGAAAAGAAAGGCGATACAGGGTCTTGCTATGTGTACTAGGCTGGCCTGCAGCTTGAAGTTCTGTTGCTTTGGCATCCTGAGTCAGGAATTATAGGGATCACATTATACATTTGGTTGGGCTATTAACTGGAGATATGAGGGAAACTTTTTGTCCAAACTCATTTAGAATGCTGCCAGCATCCAGCTTGTGTGAGTGTGTTTCTAGAAATGAGATCTTTATAAGTGCAGCTTCCAGACAGGCGTTACTGTTAGCTTGCAGTGACCTCCTGTACTGCTTACATGGCTCTATAATTCCTCAGGAATTGCACTTCTAACCTTCCTAGTATAATGCTGTGAATCTCCCCGATCTCCTTCACACCAGCCAGAGCAAACCATCTGCCTTGAAAGGTCTCACATAATTAGATTTGGCTCACCTGGATGACTCAGGGAAATTCCTTGCGTGAAGTTCATATGACCAGCAACCTTAATCACAAAAATAATTAATTTGCCTCAATATATGACATGTTGTACCAACAGGAATGTCTCATAATACGAACAGTCACAGGAATTAGAATGGGAGTCTTGGGGAATCCTTTTTAGAATTCTTCCTACAACAGTGTTTTTCCAATGAATAAATAAATTCTACTTCTTTATGTCAGAGGCATCTGGTAAGAATGACTGACATATGGTATAATCTCTCTGATTAGATAGATACCAGAGGGTGACTTTGTTCTCATTAAAATAAGTTCAGAGTCAGTGAAGTATGTCATCTGTGATCTACACAAATGCCTTCCCAGTATTCCTAATCATCAAGGCTTGTCATCTGTGATCTATACAAATGCCTGCCCTGTGTTCCTAAGCTTGAAGGCTTGTCTTCTGTAATCTATACAAATGCCTGCCCTATGTTTCTTTCATTTTTATTTCTTTTATTTATTTATTTTTTGCCTGTCATGGAGCTTGAACTCTGGGCCTGGGCACTGTCCTTCAGTTCTTCAGATCAAGGCTGGCACTCTACCACTTGAGCCAAGTGCCACTTCTGGCTTTTTCTGCTTATGTGGTGCTGAGGAATGGAACCTAGGGCCTCATGTATGCAAGGCAAGCCACCTTCCCAGCCCCTGCCCTATGTTTCTAATATTCAAAGTGTTCCCTATGAGGCTAAGTGGGAAGTGACATAACCTAAATGTGAGAATAACTAGATAGTCAGCACATGTGGATGGTTGAGAACTCCCAGGAGTTATCTTGAAAATTTTTTTCAGGGCTGGGAAGGTGGCTCAGTGTTAGAATACTTGTCTTGCATGCATGAGGTCCTGGGTTTGATTCAAAAACTTTTTATCCCTTCTGTCTTTGACTTGTTTTGTGCTTGGACTATCATTTCTTATTTATTACTTTATTATTATTATTATTATTATTGTCAGTCATGGGGTTTGAACATTCAGGGCTTAGCACTGTCCCTGAGCTTTTCTACTCAAGGCTACTCTACCATTTTGAGCCATAGTGCCACTTCCGGTTTTCTGGTGATTAATTGGAGCTAAGAGTCTCACGGACTTTCCTGCCCGGGCTGGCTTTAAATGGTGATCCTCAGATCTCAGCCTCCTGAGTAGCTTGGACACCGGACGTAAGCCACCAGCTCCTGGCTTCATTTACTACTTTAAAAACATTTTCATATAAAGGAGAATCAAGAGATTTTTTTGTCCATGGATGAAACACATTCTCTTTAGTTCTTAATGTATGTTAAATTTCTCAGGGAAATTATTAGCCCTTGAGGTAAGCAAATGCCATCTCATTATTTTTCTGGTTAAATGTCTCCACTCCTTGGAGTGGCTAGAAATGTGCTATGAGAAAGGCTTAAAATCATATGACTACAGAGATTTGGAAAGAAAAGAGCACTTACAGCATGGGAGGGCCTACATGTGGCTCTTAGGCTGCTGTGAGAAAGCCAGTTTTCATTTCTCAGCTCAGTTTTTCCTGAGTAGCTGTATGGCTTATACCTTTTGGACTTCCATACTGGTGATCCTCCATTGCCTTCAGTGTAGCTCTGGCACTTCCCCTCCAGCTTGGATGCTGCAGGAATCTGACTTGTTCATGTGTCTTGACCATCTCACATATCTGACGATAGTTAAGAGAGTTCCTTGAAACAGGCCAGATCCCTTCAAAAATACATGTGGGTTTCTGAGACCATGGAGATAGAAAACCAATTTCCAAAATGCTATTTTTCATCAGCTATTGAAGAGAACTCTGAAGCAAAACATTGGAGCATGTATGTTAAAGATGGAGGATGGGTGATGAATATATAAATAAATGACCCTAATAAAAGCAAGCTTGTCCAACATGCATTACAACAACAGGGGATTATGGGAAGTGTAAAGTAGAACACAGGGCTCTTGGGCAGAGCATTGGTTGCCATAGCTGAAGGCTTTTGTCTATTCAGTGTAATCTGGGAAAGGTATGTCACAAGTCCATCTGGGAAGGTGCCTTAGGGTAGCAAACCACCCAGCCTCCTCTTGTTCTAAGCTGAAGGAACATAGATCACAAAGAGCCAGAGGTGGGAGTGGTGTGTCATAATGGAAGCACAGCCAGGATGGGGTATGGAGAAGAAAAAGAAAGATGGACATCTCAGTGGAGATCAGCTCCCATAGGGATGTGCTGGCTCCTTTCCAAGTATGGGCAGGCTTTGACAGGAATGATGGCATGATTTGTTTTTAGTTCCAAATTGTCACTGTAACTGCACAGTGGAAAATGGCTGGGTTCAGAGCAAGGGTAAAAACAGGGAAGTATTTAAGAAACTATCATTTATCTAAGAGCCTGACATGTAGATTTCTATTTTCACTGAAAAGAATCTCTGGTCTGATGGCTGGGAACAAGTTACCTTCCCTGTGGTTATTGTGTAAATTATACTTTGCTTTCTCTTATACTGCTAGAAGTTACAAAATAATGAAAGAAGAGGCAGGAATTCCAGTTCAGTAAGAATAATATGCTAAAAAACAATATATTATAGAAATATAATAATAAAAATATGCCTACTATTTATTGAATGCTTAACATGTCCCAGGCACTGGGCATGTGCTATTTTAATTAATTCTTACATAATCTGTTGATGACTAATATTACTAATATTAGATACTAATATTGCTTCATGAGGAAACTGAGGATCAGATAGGTTGTTAGCTAATCCAAAGGGCACAGTGTACGAACAGCAGTGCTTGGAAGAGACTCCTTACAACCTGTTGTGATCTTCCAGCGAAAACCTCTCCATGTAGAACCCTCTTTCAGGGCTTCATCTATTTCCAGAGGGATAGCACCCTTATTTTAAAGGCCAAGCTGCTGTTTCTTCAGGAAAAAAAAAACCCTGAAACAGGCAACCTCAGACAGAGCCCTGAGAGAACAATACACTCTTCCTTAGAGCATTTCCAAATGCAGGCATCTTGGAGAAAGGTCATGAATGCAGGCAGACTAGCTTGGATGTGTTTGTGTGTGTTTATTGAAGTAAGGAGGTCAGGTCTGGCTGGCGCCATATTGGCCACATGTGGGATTGTAGCGTAGCGTCTGGCATCTTGTCTTCATGCCAGGGGAGGAAACCCTGCCCATCACCCGCCTCCTGGAGGAAGGGGCAGGCACGAGGCTGATAGGTTACTGAATCTGTCAGTCTAGTGCCCGGGACTGGGGATTTCCTGAGGATCTGACCTCTGTGCTGACCTATTTAGGCCAGACAGCCTAGCTGCTATTATACCATGTCAAGTGTGTCTCAGTGATCCTGTCCTGTGTCCTGTCTCCTGACTCATCTCTGGTCATAATGGAGTCCCAATTCAGCTCTCCATTGAAGCTAAATTGGCTTGTTGGTATTGTTTTTGTTATTTCTTTCCTCTTTAGCATGTTTCCTACTTGTGTTATATGTATTTGGGGGCTGCAGGCCTCTGTAATAACTGGCTGCCTGCAGACTGCTATTTGTGCAATAAAGACTCCAATATTCTATATTCGCTTCTGGGATGATTCACCTTACAACATTATAATCCTTCTCTAGAGAGAAAAAATTATTTTTAGAATTACAGGAAGATGATGCATCACCACTAGGAAGGTAGCTTGTTACTAAATCATGAAAGAATCAAATTCAAGTTTTGGTTCCAGGGTTCTTTAACAATGTGACTGGAAATTTAACTTCTTTAAGTCTTCTGTGATCTATAAAGTGAGACAAAACAGCTCATCTGATCTCCAAAGAGGTTGAATGGGAAAGTACATGAGCAGCTGCTCTATAGAAGGTAATGCTGGGAAGGAACCAATAGAATGAGCTCCCATTATTACCGCTCTGTCTCAGCTACACTTGTGACCCTTCAAGAAAAGTCAAGTGAACTAGATGAAGTCGGGAGGAGGAGGACCAGAAAAAGTGAGACAGAGGAGACAAGAAAAGAGTGGAGAGGAGAGGGAGAAAGGAGGGAAGAGAGGAGAGCTACAAGAGGACAGGAAAGAGAGAGCAGAGAGGAAAGCTATAAAGGAGAGGAGAAAAGAACTGCCTAGCTAGAATGTCATCACTCCTAGCCCCAGCCTTCCAGGCTCCTGCCAGAGCCCCGAGGAAGCCGTAGGGAGTTATGTACTCTGCATTGTCCTCAACCCCCCTCATTTTCACTACCTCATGCCTACAGAGCATTTGATGAAGGCATTTTTCACAAAGGCAGACAGTATCTAGGACCCAGAGTTTAGTGTGGTCATCATTAGTTACTGTCATCATTGCTGGGGGAAGAGCAATTTGTGTGTGTGTACATATTTGTGTATATATGTGTACATTTGCAAAGCCACACCTGTGGAGAGGCAGGTATAAGATTGCTGGGGTTGAGATGAGCAGAAGTGAAGATTCATCCAGAGTCATTATATTGTCTTGTTGATCAGAACTGATGGTGTCTTTATCACTGAGCAGTTTCGATGAGTACTTTGTAGGACAAACACCAGATTCCTCACTAATAGCCATACTCCTCACAAAACATCCTTCCCGTAGGGAAAGGAAGTGGTGAGCACACCACTGTGGAGATTCATAGACCCTTGGCTCAAACCCACTGCTGACAGCATGGTCACTTTTTTTTTGTCCTATTAGGTGGCAAGATAACCCAGCCATGCCCTCGGGACTCATATACGAAGGAATCTCCACCAAACCTCTGAAGTACTCTGGAGGAAGTGCAGCTCAGAGCTCGGTGCTCCATGCATTGGACGAATTCTTGGGCATTCGTCATAGCAAGGAAAGCGGTAATTCAGATGTTTTCTATTTTCCTTTTCATGCCTTTCTCAAGAAGAGAGCAAGCAAGAATAGGGAAATTTTTTAAATCAATCGATCACTCCAAGCACAAAGTCAATTGTCAGGAAATTTTGTGCACTTCCCTAAATCAACCAGGGAACCAACCGTGTACCTGCTTCATGTTATTGTGTCGTCAATTTATATCAGAAAAATCAAGTCTCAGCAGGATTGTGAGCTGCATTTCCCCATTGGAAAGCATTGCCAGAATTCCAGCTGTTCCCTGTAATTTTAATTTGGATCCTTAGGCTGTAGCTTTCTGTTTCTACAACAGGAGGGAGATGGGGAATTTGAGGGTTATGGCATTCTGTGTCTGAGACTGGAGACAGCGGGTAGCAGATGTGATCACCCCTACTAGAGCTCATACGATGCTACAATTTCTGGTCAAATCTATGTGGCACCCCAGGATGTGGAGAGTACTATTTTGGAAGCTTGAAATTGCCCTTTCCTTTACCTGTCAGCATTAGAATTGTGCTTCACTGTTTAAAAAGGGCACTTCATACTGTAAAGGTTTCCATTTGGATAGGTAAAAAACAATTAGAACTTTGTGCCTTGGAATTTGGGCCCACTCGAATCATAGGTCTTCTAGACCTATGATTAATTTTCATGGATTTTTGCATTTGTTACTATTAAGCATTGATTTACACACGTTGTATTAAACACATAATGAATTTCCAATAAACACTTATCGATTTGATTTTAAACAAATTTGCTTCAAGAAGCTTTTTCTAAGAGTGGCTCATTCTTTACGGTCCTATTTTGGTATATTCTATAACTTTTATCTTTTTCTGTATTCCCTTCAAAAATAAAAGGACATAGGAAACAAAATTCCTTTTCAGTTTAAGGATATGTGTCCTATTTTTGTTCATATCTCTCACAAAGTAGCTTCAGTTAGCAACTAAATGCTCTGTGGTACATGATATTTATACCTTAACCAGGAGATCCAATTCCACTTCAGTTATCTAGGGTGCACTGGCTTCTTTTCTCTCCCATCTGCCAACAGTCAGAAACACTGAAAATCTGGCTTGTATGAGCAGCAGAGCCAGCAAGTAGGTTGAGTTAGAGTACCATCAACTGTTTTCGTACCTTGGTGTGTGGAACAACAGGAAAACTGTTTTGCATTTCCATACAGAGCTGAGATATCACTCTGGTTGTTTCTTTCAGCTGCCTTTCTGCATAGGATGAGGGACTACATGCCTCCTTCCCACAAGGCCTTCATAGAAAAAATCCACTCTGTCTCTTCCCTAAGGGAGCACGTCATGTCCTCCGGCCTTGGTCAGTGTCTGACATCTTATAACCAGTGTCTGAAGGCCCTGGCAGAGCTGCGGAGCTACCACATTGCCATGGTGACCAAATACCTCATCATAACTGCAAGCAAAGCAAGGAGCAAGAGGCCAGCCCACCTCCCAGGACCACCTCAGGCTTTAGAAGGCAGGGGCACAGGAGGCACTGCTGTCCTGAGCTTCCTGAAGAGTGTCAGGGATAAGACCTTGGAGGCCATGCTGCACCCAAGTGGTACAATGCAGAGTCCACCCTAGAGGGTACGAGGGGGGATGGAGAAGAGGGTCAGAGCCCTGGATAGAATAATACAAAAGGGACCACAGCCCTCTGTAGAGTTTTGCTCAAAAGAACACTGAATTCTTCACTGTTGGAAAGCTGAGTTCCCATGCTGCCTTAGTGCTCACTCACTGTCTCGCAGCAAACCACAGTGGACACTTCCTTCTTCAGATCCCCATTGGCTGTTCCAAGTAAGAGTGAGCAATGTAAATTTCAAAAACCAAATAAAAAATACCATTGCAACGGACAGATTATCTTACTCTTTTTTTCTTTTCCTGTATCACTAATGAGGCTTGAACTCAGGGGCTTGGGGCTCTTCCTTACTTTGTCACTCAGGCTTAGCAGTCTATCAGAGCTATAGCTCTGCTTTCCAGTGTTTTGCTGGTTAATTAGAGGTCAGAGTCTCTTATAGTGGTCTGTTCAGATCAGCTTCCTTAGTAGATAGGATTATAGGTATGAACCACTAGCTTGTTTGCTTGCTTGCTTGCTTGCTTGATTTCTTTCTTTCTTTCCTTCCTTCCTTCCTTTCTCCCTTCCCTTCCCTTTCCTTCCTTTCCCCTTTCCTTCTCCCTTTCCTTTTTTCTTTCTCTTTCTCTGTCTTTCTCTTTCCCTCTTTTCTCTTTCCTTCTCTTCTCTTTCATTTGTCTCTTTCTCTCTTTCTGAGACTAGTGGCTCAGGCTAGCCTTGAACTTGAGATCCTCCTCCGTGCTGAGATTCAGGGTATATGTCACCATATCCAGCCTGTGGAGTCCTTTAAGAGAATGAATTGACTTATTTCACTAAATTTCTACTAAGCTCTTGCTCAGGGATTAGACATTGGCTGGCCCTCCTTTCCTTGTATGTGTTGAGTCTGGTGTCTGGAGGCTGGATGTTCCAGTGGGATACATAAGCAAGAGGATGTTGATAAAAACTAGGAAGTCATTAGTGTGAAAATGAATAGTTAATGACATGGGAACTGATGTTCCATGTCTGTTCCACATGGTACATAGATTTGTAAATTCTGTTTTGATTCTCTTCTTTATTTTTAGAAGATGTTTTTTGTTCTCTTGACACTAGAAGCCTTTACTTGTAAAATGAATTAAGTGACCCTTTGAACATAAAAAAGCCCAAGAGGAATAACTAGAGGCCCAGATGTTGAGTGTTGGAATTAATGTAGCTGTTTATACTCTCTTAGTTTCTGTCTCAAAAAACTCACTCCACTTGATGGGAGAAAACCAGAAAGCTTTTCATTAATTTAAGTTTGCTTCTACTTTTGTACATGTATGTGCACACATGCATGTGCACACACGCACACACACACACACACACACACACCTGAGATAGAATACACCATAGCTCTTAAACAACCCCTCCAGATGTTGACTTGATCTGTTCTAACTGGAAGTGTGTGCAATCCTGTCCTAAGTCTTAAAAGTCTGATTATGTCAACTCCTTCCCATGTTTTCTGGGAGTGTTTAGAGACTCCACAGCCAGCTCAGCATCCCCACCCAGCACCACAGCAACCAACTCCACTCTCCATTGCCTGGGGAAGTGTGTCTTGGGTTCTGTGGGCCTTGGACTAGATGGATAGTAAGAAACAGATCTTGCACCAGTGTTCTGGAGAGCTCTTCCTGTCCCCTTTTCTCTGGCCTTGGTGTGGTGAAGATGTGAGAGTACGCATGACAGTGCCAGAAGCTTGTCAGAGATGCTCAGCCATGCCCTCTACTACTGCTCCTTTTCTTCCTGGTTGTGTGGGCAAAGGAAACACTAGTCTAACACAATTCTTTTTGCCTATGGTACAGGTCAGAGCCTCAGCTCAAAGATTCAAAATCATGTTTCACTCCACACATTGTGCTTGTGTTTTTGAAAGATGTATTCTGAGCCTCAAAAGCATGAGCCTTTTTGATTTGCTGTGGAAGCAACAGGTCTAGACAGTGGCCCATGTTCCTGAGCCATGGAAGTGTCCTCGCCTCTGTGAAGAGACGGAGAGAGATACAGAGTTTAGGAGCTACATGATGTTTCTACCTCTCTGTCATTCTCAAGTATATCTGAGCACAATTTGGATGCTGATTTTCCCATTTTTAAAAAATCTGGTTTTTACTCAATTTCCAAAAGTCATTCATTCTCAGTTTTCCATTTCTTATAAAATGAGGACAGCCTGTTCTCCCAGTGGATATAATCACAGAAGAGGTAGCCTGGCACAAACATATTAATAAAAGATTCGTGGCTCACAGTGTGGTGTAGATGTCAGTTTGAGTGGAAACACTATTCCTGTAGTGTCTGGGATCTACAAATTGGGTGGCAATAGGATGCCTCTTTATTGTTTAGGGGTGCTGGAAAACAGATCGTGACAAAGCATGGGCCAAAAGGCTGGAAAGCCATCTCTACCACCACATTTTACTCACAGACACACTGTTTAACTTCTCAGGGGCGTTTATGCCATCCATGCTCATTCCAAATGTCATCTATTAGGCTATCAATGTCAACTAGAGGAGTTTCCCAATAGCTGTGTGCAGCTGAGACAGACTTCTTTTACTTCTGATAAGGTTATGATGGTAAATGCATCGTAAGTTGAAATATGCTGAATACACCTAGCCTATAACACAGCCCAGTGTAGAAATAGTGCATTGTAGATTTGTTGTTGAGGGCTGACTTGGCTCTACAGTTCACCAGAGCTGACTGGCATGGGACAGAGGATCACATTGCACATTGGTAGGTGAGGAGAAGAGCAACGTTTGAAGTTTGTTTTCTGCTGAAGTTCTGCTGTTTTCCATACCATTATAAAAGCAAAAAAAAAAAAAAAAAACCCCAAACCCCCAAAACTCATTGGGCACTGGTGGCTCATACCTGTAATCCTAGCTAGTAAGGTGGATTATAGTTTGAAGCCATCCTAGGCAGAAAAGTTCTGGAGACTCCAGCTCCAAGATAACCAGCAAAAAGCCAGCTGTGACAGTGGCTCAAGTGTAGTGTAGAGGATCAGTTAAATCAACAAGCAAGCTGATTTCAAGTCCAAATATGTGCATAAATGCAAAAAAAACCCCTAGAGTTCAAAGCCCTGTGTTCAAGCCCAAGTCTAAGTAGGGAAGAAAACAGCAACTAATTCTAAGTTGGGGACCACTGCAGATGACAGAAATAGCTAAGATGTGATTATGGTGATGTAGCTTTCATCTGTGCTAGAGAGAACTTTGCTGTTCCCTGAGAGCCAGAGATAAGAAAGAACTGGGCAACGAATCTCTTACACAATGAAGAAAAGGAATAACATGACCTCAAAACAAGAAACAAGGGGCTGGGAAGGTGGCTCAGTGGTACAGTGCTTGCCTTGCATGCATGACGCCCTGGGTTCAATTCCTTAGCACCACATAAGCAGAAAAGGCCGGAAGTGGCGCTGTGATTCAAGTGGTAGAGCACTAGCCTTGAGCTAAAGAGCTGAGGGACAGTGCCCAGGCTCAGAGTTCATGCCCCACGACTAACCAAAACCCAAAACAAACAAAAAAGAAACAAAGTGAATCAGAATCAGTATGTCTCTGGAGGTCATGTATAGTGAGCAGTGAGGGGGATCTTTGGCTGGGAAGGAATGTCAACTGTCATAGCCACTTCAGGCTCTCAGTCTAGGCCTTCAGTCTAGGCCTATCCAGCTCCACATGGTGATTAAGATGAACGAGAACCACTGTAGATAGGTAGCCGGTGGTAGGTCCAAGTCCAGTAAAAAAGGCTGCAGGGCTTGACACTGATGTTGAAATCTCTGAAAACTTGGATGGAGGAAATGGGGTGGAAAGAGGATATGCCAAATAGCATCTTCAAAGCTCTTGGAATTTTTTTTTTGCTGACATTGATATGCAAGGATGAGACCAATGCAAACACAGATCCTTATTTTCTTTGCTAGTGAGCAGCAGTGGGTTATGGATTGAGGTCATATGTCATGGGGATGGAATACCATTTTCAGCTTTATGATATAATAGTGCAAGAAAAGTTTCTAGTCTAGATGTAACCACACACTTTTCAAGACTTTTAGCAACAAAATGCAAACGCATCTGTGAAATGTGTCACCTAATGGTAGAAATGGTGGTGCGGATGAGGATGATGGTGGTGGTGATGCCGATGGAGATGCTGGTGGGCCTGAGTAGCTGGATGGGCCTGCAGGTGTGAGGAAATGACCACGTGGGGATAGAAGCCCTAGCATGGCTAGTGTAGAGACTTTCCTACAGTACAATCTGTTTCCTGGCTTAATACTGAGAGGGGCAAAAGGACAAAGATTGGGTAGAGGAGAGATAGCGGTGGCATGGAGATAATGTCTCCTTCTCGTCCGAGAGACTCTGGGAACCAGAGACAGGCTCTGGAGGTAACAGCTCCTCCTCTTCCCGAAGACCCTGGAAAACTGAGATAAATCCTGGCAAAAGCAACACCCCTGACAACTCTGGAGTAGGTCTGCTCAGGGGACTAGGGACCTTTCCCTTGGGGAGAAGTGGGAAGGACCCAGCCATGTGTCAGAAGAGCTGAAACTCACTCCAAAGGGCTATAAGATAGGTACCCTACCAATTTCTATTTTTTTTTTTGGGTCCAGGCCTGAACTCTGGGCCTGGGTGCTGTCCCTCAGCTCTTCAGCTCAAGGCTAGCGCTCTACCACTTGAGCCACAGCGCCACTTCTAGCTTTTTTCTTATGTGGTGCTAAGGAATCGAACCCAGGGCCTCGAGCATGCAAGGCAAGTGCTCTACCACTGAGCCACCTTCCCAGCCCCTGCCTTACCAATTTCTTGGCCCCACTTCTTACTCACTTTCACCTAGAAATCTGTACCCGCCTTGTCCCCCTCCTCTCACCCAGGAAACAGGTGGACACACACTCACATGGCACAGGCAGGAGAGGCTTTCCTTAGATTCCCCGGCACCTTATTCTCACTTTCACACCAATTTTTCCTCTACTTCCACCTCTGCTGCTTCAAAATTCTTTCTTTATGGCAAGAAAGGACCTAAGACTCCTAGATGGCATCCATAGTTCTGTCATAGTAATTATATATGCAAATGATGTTAACA